GGTCCGCTGCTGCTGCAGCCTCCCTGGCGTCTTGCCGGGCCTTCCCTCGGCCATGCGCCCAGCCGTGCACCCAGAGGCCACTGCAGGACCCTTTCGCTGCTGGGTGAAGCTGCTCGCTTCTCAGGGCACCTTGCAGCTGGGAGACCTGGCCCCCACCTTGCCTCACACTCTCCCCCTGCACAGACAACCTTTGGAGCGACCAGAGCCTGGAGACAGACCCTGACCTCCCCCCAGGCTGGAGGAAAATTCGTGACTCTCTCGGCACCTACTACTGGCATGTGCCGACCGGCACGACGCAGTGGCAGCACCCAGCACGCACCACTGGCCCAGGAGGGCGCCCAGAGGCTGATGGAGAGGAGACACTCCAGGGAATGGTAGGGGATGTGGGCGGGGGGCGAGGGCTGGTGCTGGATCCCACCCCCTGGCAGGAGCCTGCTGAAGGGCCCTCTGGGCATCGCTGGTCCAGCTTCCCTCTGGAGCAGGCCTTTCTGTCACCCCAAAGTCCTGCTCAGCCCATTCCTGGGCAGGGTTAAGCCCCTCGAAAGGATCCAGCAGGCCCTGTGTTGGCCTCATCCTGATTACACGGGATGCCCACGAGCTGAGGTGCTGCTGTCCTGGAAGGGAGGGCTCCTACTTCGTGCCTCCTGGCAGCCCCTCCTGCTGCCCTCACCCCTTTTCTCTCCCAGGACTGCCAGGCCCCTGCGGTGAAGCACATGGCAAAGGACAGGCCCATTCCAAGCCCCATGGCTTCGCTGTCCCGGAGGTAGGGCTGCCCCTGCGCTCTGCTGGCTTGTGGGGCACCATTGACCCTTGACCACCACTGGCTGCTGGGACCTGGTGCACCCCACCAGAGAAGCCCCACATGCTGGAGCCGGCAGGACCATGCTGATCACCTTCATGGGATGCTTCCCAGCTGGTGGCATGGGGGTCTGCTGGAGTCAGAGCATCCTGGCACTTCCCTGGGTGCCCCAGCTCCACGCTGCTGACTGGGAGCCGTCCCCTCACTGCCTTGTCCCTCCATAGGACCTCGCTGCCCTGGCACGGAGATGATTTCCAGCACAGCACAGAGCCTGGCTCCAAGGTACTGCCCCTGGGGACGTCACTGCGTCATCACGGGCTGGGGCTGGCAGAGGAGGGGGCAGGCAGCAGCGGGCAGGGACAGGGATGGGAGCGAGAGCACGCTGGCATGGCGAGGGGTGTGGGACAGGGGTGGCGGTGCTGAAGCCCCATGTGTCTCTGCTCAGTGCTTCGCTGTCCGCTCGCTGGGCTGGGTGGAGATCCCTGAGGAGGACCTGGCACCTGGCAAGAGCAGCATCGCTGTCAACAACTGCATCCAGCAGCTCTCCAACAGCCAGGGCCAGGGCTCTGCGGGCAACCAGGGCGAGGTGAGAGCCTGGTGCACTGCTGCCAGGCAGGGTCCCACCCCGGGGCCACTGCTGCTGAGGCTGGCTGTCCCCACTGACGGGGACTGTGCCTGGCAGGCCCCAGGGCCCAGTGCCAGTGTCAGAGTCAGCTCCCTCCACACAGGGCATCCATGCAGTGGTCCCACGCGTGGGGCAGGCGGGACTGACAGGGCTGTCCCTTGGGGACAGTGCCTGGGGTGCCTGGGCTGGCTGTCCCCACACATGGGAATGGTACCTGGAGAGGGCTGTGTGGAGGGACAGGGCTGTCCCCATGCTTGGGACCGAGTAGGCTGGGGGGACAGCAGCGCCCCTATACAAGGGCTGGCTGCTTGGGGATGCCCAGGCCATCTGCCAGGCTGAGGGAGCTGCTGACCCTCTGCAGGGCCAGGACCTGGTGATGATCCTGAAGAAGGACACAATGAGCCTGGTGGACCCCCTTGACCGCAGCCTCATCCACCACCAGCCCATCCTCAACATCCGCGTCTGGGGTGTTGGCTGCAACAACGGCAGGTGCCGGGGGCCGGGGCAGGGCCAGGGGCTGCAAGTGGCTCTGCCCGCTGAGGGGGGAGAGCATCCCAGCAGTAACATGTCCCCTTTCCTCCCTCCCTGGCTGCCACCGTGGCTGCAGGGACAGGTAAGGGGGCATGGGACCGGGGAGCAGCAGGGGGAGGGCAGGGCTGCCTC